GGTGAAAATGGTATTAAAAAAAAAAAAAAAACACAACATTTATCCTATCATTTCCAAGAGGGGAGGATTGTCACATGAAATTTCCCCTGAAAGAATGCATTTAGCTCATTTGCCTTTAAAATTAAAATCTGAAACAATGATGTTTAAATAATGGTATTTTTTTTTTTTAATTTACAGTTTATTTTGAGACAGAACGAGAGAAGGAGAGTAGAGAGGGAGAGAGAGAGAATTCCAAGCAGGCTCCATGCTCAGCACACAGCCTGACACAAGGCTCAAACTCACGACCTGTGAGATCACAAACTGGGCTAAAACTGAGTCGGATGCTCAAGCAAGTAAGCCACCCAGGCACCCCTAAATTACGGCATTTTAAAAATACCACTCAAAATAAATACAATCAAATTCCATGATTTCACTAGTAAAGGAATAAAAAAATATAAGGGGAATGGAATGGAGTGAAAAAGTTAGAAAAGATATGTATACACACATAGATTAGAAAATGGAACAAGAAGTGAAAAAAGAAGAGATCTACAGCGAATTATGTAGCAAATATTAGAGATAAAGGGATCCTGTCATATTCTGACCTTTAAATTACTGATGAAAGAACTACACAGCTCAGAAATTTCTCTCTCGGTGGGACAGTCCCAGCAGCCCACAAGAAGAAATATTTTCTAGAATGCAGAGATTATTGAAAAAATAAATCTGGGGGCGCCTGGGTGGCTCAGTCGGTTAAGCGTCCGACTTCGGCTCAGGTCACGATCTCATGGTCTGTGAGTTCGAGCCCCGCGTCGGGCTCTGGGCTGATGGCTCGGAGGCTGGAGCCTGTTTCCGATTCTGTGTCTCCCTCTCTCTCTGCCCCTCCCCCGTTCATGCTCTGTCTCTCTATGTCTCAAAAATAAATAAACGTTAAAAAAAAAAAAAAGAAAGAAAAAAGAGATCTGGCTAGAAATCATTTAAAAAATTTAAAAGGGCCTTAAAGCCACATAGTCTAAATGCAATGTTTTATGGATGAGGAAACTGAAGTCCAGAAAGTTTAAATGGCTTGCCCATCCCAGGCAAGTAGAGCCAAGATTGAAATACAGAGGTATAATCTCCCAAGCCAGTTTTCCACAATGCCAAACTGCCATTACTTTGTCCTAAACACTTAATTTGTAGGCATCCTTCCTGTACTTTAAATCCTCTGGTACTCAGTTGATACAAAGCTGACAAACGGATGGAACCTAATTTCCTCAAGTGGGAGCAACAGGCAAATGTTACTCTGGTCCACCACTTAGCTCTGCCATTATAATCAGTACCTGAGAGGTCACGTGCACACACACTACACAAGAATTCTATTTCTTTTTTTTTTTTTTTTTTTAATTTTTTTTTTCAACGTTTTTTATTTATTTTTGGGACAGAGAGAGACAGAGCATGAACGGGGGAGGGGCAGAGAGAGAGGGAGACACAGAATCGGAAACAGGCTCCAGGCTCCGAGCCATCAGCCCAGAGCCCGACGCGGGGCTCGAACTCACGGACCGCGAGATCGTGACCTGGCTGAAGTCGGACGCTTAACCGACTGCGCCACCCAGGCGCCCCAAGAATTCTATTTCTGAAACAACCATGATTTGTGTCACCCGTAGTGTGAAAGTGACACCCACGATTTAGACTGCTTGATACTGTTTTCTCTTACTTTTAAAAATGGTGAATCTTCCAACATGTCAAGGAACTCAGGGAAGTAATCTCCCACTTCTTCATCAACTGCTCCCACCAAGCTGATCTGTCGCATTGGGCCAGCTCTGTAAGTACCGTGAGAATATGTTCTTTTTACCTGAAGGATATGGATTTAATTAAAAGTTACACATAAGATAATGTTTACTATCATTCTGTAACACTAAATTATACTGTCTGAGAACATAAGAACATAATGTGAGGTAAGCAAAACAAAATAAAAGCCTTTACAAACAGTTAAAGGAAAAAAAAAAAGCAAGAAAAAAAATCCATACTAAGGCAAGCTATTTTACCTTCTCTAGCTATTCCTACACACTGCTTATAAAACCACAGATGAGATCAACAGCATAATTCTAGACACTAACTTCTCACAATACAGTTAATTATATGATCTATAAGGCCAATTAAATTATATTAAAAAGTTGTATACCAGTTTTTCCTAAATGCCTCATATCTTTTTATTGGAATTTCCCCCTGAAATGTTACATTTATCTGATACCAGTGGTTTATACGTCTGAAAGGCCACCAGGAATGATTTTCCCTTCTAGATCATACTATATTACCTAGGATCCAGTTTATTTTTATGATTAACTCTGATAACAACTACTAGAGATTGAGAATCTGGAGTCCTAGGTTCCAACTCTACCTTTGCTATCTACCAGCTATGTAACCTTCAGAAATCACATAAATTCCTTGAGTTTTAGTTTCCTTAAGTGGAATGATTTACGTCAGATTGCTGAAGAACACTTAACAATTATATAAAGCTATAAAGCCACCTGCACAATGCTAGCAAATGGGCGGCATTCGAGTATCAAGTGAAATAAAACAACCCACACCTCAAGAATCTTGGTACTTGAATTCTGACAAGCACATTTAAATGCTGCAAAGAAATCTATGCCATTTCATATCCTAATGGGAGTAAACAAAAATCTTTATAAGGCAAAACAACTTCCTTTCATAAACTTTAAGCAAAATCCTAATTATCTTTTTCATCTCTGGATTAGCTTTGGTGGGCACTAAATTTAGGGAGATCAAAGTATCTCACTTTGCCTGGGTCTATGGCAGTTTTAAAATTCAAAGTCCTATATATCTCAAGAGGCAAACCTGGAATGGTTAGGCTTTTGTCACATCATGGATACACTCTTAAAAGATATTCACATCACAAATCAAATTCCTATTATCACAGATGGCACAGTCTTATGTACCCAAGAATGTAAGCCCTCCACCCCCATATTTAAAAAAAAAAAGATGACAAAAATTCCATCACAATAGATTAATTTGACTCAAATACTAGAGAATTTCACTTCATTTTTATTATAATCAGCAAAAGCAATTAACAATGATACGTTAATTCCTTAATAAGTTTATTTACCAGAATTCCAAGTTTAAGTTTTGATTAACTGTCAAAAATTCACTTCTTAGAACCATAACACACTCTTCCAATCCTCAAGTTAAAAAAAAATTGGAAGTTCTGTGTCCCCATTTTGTACTCATGATTTCATCTTTTTTCCTGTATCCCAAAAGTTCTTAGCATCTTCAATACTGAGAGAGCTAAATGTTAAGATCTGACTGTACTCTAGAGGTTCTAGATGGTTACATGTACTAACAGTACTACAAGAAAATTAGTCATCAGTGTGCATTCTGAAATGTAGTCTAACAAAGCTAAAGGTTATTATCAATTCAAAATTAAGCAAATTTACCAGAACGGACATAACATTAATTCTATTAGGTGATTCTGAGTTTGTGGCTTCAGTTTTGGATCTGCATATGATTGTATTAACAGACCTCATGGCCATTCAGTGAAATCAGACTTACACTGCAAAACTCAAATTTTCCAAGTGCTTTGAAATACATTATTTGACCTGTAAAAGTCACAGTAAGATAATAATATTTCCACTTCAAACCAAATTTCTGTGCCTCAAATCTCCTTAATTTGTTTAACTCAGATAACTCATCTAAATCATTAACTAGTTCTGGGGCGCCTGGGTGGCTGAGTCTTAGGTTAAGCGTCTGACTTCGGCTCAGGTCATGATTTCACAGTTTGTGAGTTCAAGTCCCTCCTCAAGCTCTGTGCTGACAAGCACAGAGCCTGGAGCCTGCTTTGGATTCTGTGTCTCCCTCTCTCTCTGCCCCTCCCCCACTCGCCCTCTGTCTCCGTCTCTCTCTCTCAAAAATAAATAAAACATTAAAAAAACTTTTCTAATTATTAACTAGTACTAACAAAGCCAAAATCAAGGAAGTCCTTGCCACCCAGCTTGTTCATTCTACGACATCACATTATCAACAACAATCAACTGAATAATTGGGGCAGTGACTCAATGATCAACTAAATAATTTGGGAAGGAGGAATCTTCAACAATCAAATTCTTCTAAAATACTAAGCACAACTCAATTTATGAGCTCTCCTAAAGAAATGGGCACTTTGAACATACTTTTCAAGAAAAGTCAAATGGGTGGATGGTCCACTGGACTTTCTTTCCAAGTGCAAAAATTAAATGTGTGCATATAAAAGATAACACCAAGAAAGAATGCTCTTTAATGTGAATGTTAGGAATCAAAGATAATCTTCTCTGAGGAAATGTAAATATGAAACCATAACAATTTATGTAATAGGTAAAAACAGGTCTTACTATACTTGAAATAATTTTTTTCGCAAATAACTGAGGTAGTTTTCTGAGTTCTACCTAGCAGTTGCCATACAATTCAAATTGCTTCCATCCTACAAAAAACAAAAACCTACTAAAAGCATTATTAAACTATAGAGAAGACGGGATAAATACAGTAATCAGAAAACCAGAACTAATTACTAACAAATTTAACATTCAGCCCTCTTAAGAGTATAATTTCTGTGTTTAAATGTTATGTAAAAATGTATCATTTAGTAACTGAAAAAATGGGTAAAGCTTCTTGGATGATAATATCTTATAACTTAAGTACTTCACTAACTGACTTAACCAGATGTTAACCAGATGTTATCTTAGCCTAGAATGATTATTAATTGAAAGGAACATACTGACCTAGTCATCTCATTTCATTCAAATTACCTTTACATTAATTTCTAAGTTATAAACGTTGTTTGTTTAAAACTAAAATGAAACGTGCTCGCTTTGGCAGCACATATACTAAAACTAAAATGAAACACATCTAAATTAGTACAGACTAATTAAAAACTATTAAAAACTTTAACATGATACATTAAATAAATTAGAACAAACTTGAGTCCCCCTCCCACCATTTCTATTTTGAGGCCACCTAAAAAGAGGCTGTATCTTTTGATGATGTTTTAAAATATGGTCCTATTATAAGTCATAAATATTTCAAAAGATAATTGGGAAAAACTAAATTTTCAAGAGTAAAGTAATATAGACTCTAGTCGTCAGCTTATAATCTTAAATATTGTATTTGAATCTTTATAGTTCTTGTCACCTCATGGCAAAATACATATATATTATATATGAAATTTACTTATATACGTAATTTGCTATAATAAAAGTACAGGTCTCTCTCCTTTTCACCAAAATGTGCTAAAACTGTAAAATACATCCTATTTGTCTACTATTAAAACCACACAGGTAAATTCTACTAAAAGTATGGTCTTTATATAAACTATGTATACTTATCTATCACGTTCAAAAACAAACAGTAATTTTCTTCTAAAACATTTATTCTCCAAATATTAAAGATAATACTCTGATAACTCAATACGATGGATACAAATATATTTAAATTTAAAACTAATTTTTAAAAATTAAACTGAAGTCATCAAAATCTTACAAAATTTCACAAAAGTAATTTTGTGAAAGCAATCTTTTAAAATACACTGTAATATAACTTTTAATTATATACCACTTAACTTTGTAATTTCACAACCCAATATTCAAACATAGACTAAATTAGTCGGAATCACTAATTTAATGTTTTAAACATGGCATATTCCACATAATAATGCATTCAAATTCAAAAAGTATGTATCTCTTGATAAAATATACAGATGGCACTTAAGTGGTTACAACAAAATGTAAGAATATGATAAACACACCTTTCACAAAAAAATTAAGTACCTCTTGATTTAGAGGACACCTATTTTACTGCAATACTACATAGCAAATATCTATTCTTACATGGCATGAAATTAAACCTACAATATCATAAGATAAAAAGCTTCAACTCTCCAAAAAGTATCTATTTAACAATTATAACTAAAGGGCAGTGGGAGTTGAGGGGGAGGAAACAGGTAAGGTTCTAAAGAATCTCTGGAGAGCCAAAATAAATGCCATAAAACCATGACTCATAAAAGGGTCTCTTCTGACATATGTTTCTACATTAGGCACAATCCTAACTAATCTCTAAAATCATAAAGGATAAGAAATCACAAATGTGAAGTGGGGAGCGGTGACAAGAAGCAGGCATACATATTTGCAACTCCCCTAGCATGCATTAGAGCATCAGAATGACAAACCTAGACTGAAAACAGAGTTAAATTGTATTGCATTTGCTTTTAAAAAGGGTATTTTCATTAAAATCTTGGCACCTAAAACTATGGGCTTCCATTATCTAGAAAAACCACCTATCTGAAAAATATCACATCCTGATGACACTGGATATGAGATTACTTTATTTGCTTTGACTCACTTCAGTAAACAGTAGTCAAGCCATCAGTTTTCTGATGCAGTTAAAAAGTTTACTAGAAAATATCAAAACGTGTCACTGCTTTAAAACAAATCCTATATGCTAAAAGAAAAATGCATTGTTACAAAAAGTACACATATTTTTCCTCTCAATTTAGGTACACTCAAACGACAACACAATAAAAGATAGAAATGACATTTTTGCTTATATTTAAATAGTTAAATTAAGCTCATCTTTAAAAAGTGCCTGTTAGAAGCAGATGGAATATTTTTAATCTAAATCTCCTCCCTATAGCTCCCTTCACCGCCGCCCCCCCCCCCAGCAAAACCTACCACCATCATGATTGCATGTTTACCTTTCCCCTCTCATATTCTTTATAAATGTTATAAAGGGAAAGAAAAATCAGGAATAGGAAACTTCTTGTACCCAATGCCTGTTTAAGTGTCAAAAACAAAATCTAAGAAGTTCTGG